CTAATTTTCTCTGAGCATATCCATATTTTATCAGGAGTATTCTCATTAGCTGACTCAGACTTCCAGTCCAGCTTGCTCAAAAGTGAAAAATAGTCTGAATCAAAGCTTTTTAGGAACCTGGATCTGGATCTGTGTTGCTACGATGGTGATGTGGTGGATGGTATACTGCTCAGCTGGTGGGTGGACGCCATTCCTTCTGACTTAGAGGCTGAGTGAGAAATACTCTGAGGGTGTGAGAGCTGTGGACGGGGTGTGGAGGGCACAGGCAGAGCAGGAGGGAGGGTGAATGAGCTTTAATTACCCTCCAAAGCCTGTACTGAGCCCTCTGAAGATGGCTCTTAGTCAGGACACAGAGGTGTTTAGTCACATGACTCAGCGGGTTGCTTTTTCATTCCTTGGCTCTAAAGATAGAGACATACCAGCGCTTGTTTTCGCTGAATTGCCCAGAACTGAAGTCCTGGAATGTCTGAGAACAATGGGGAAATTCTTGGAAATGATGAGTAAATGTGATCTTAAACTTACACACACCAGGAAAGAGGCTTCATGTCCCACATGGAAAGAAGGCAGGAACGGAAGTATTAATGTACCAACTGGGTACTGTCTGTGCAGCACAGCATTATGGGATGTGGAAGGAGACCTTTGGGAGGAGGCGTTTGGAAGGAGGCCCTCTGGAAGGAGGCTTCTGAAAGGAGACCTCTGGAAGGAGGTGCTCTAGAAGGAGACCTTTTAGGGGTGGAACGGTTCACAAAATCCACGGTGTGATTCACGGTTTCGTGGTCACGGTTTTCGGTTAGGTTGATTGTTTTTTTATGTTGATTGCCTCTGGAAGGAGGCTTCTGGAAGGAGGCCTCTGGAAGGAGGCCCTCTGGAAGGAGACCTTTGAAAGGAGGCCTCTGAAAGGAGGTCCTCTAGAAGGAGACCCTGTAGAAGGAGGCCTCTGGAAGGAGGCCATTGGAAGGAGGCTTCTGGAAGGAGGCTGTGCAAGAGGACAACATCTGGAGGGATTCTAGTTTGCACCAAAGTGGGAATGTAGCAGCAGAGTTATGGGTTTTTTATTATTTTATTTTTTTATGAGAGTTATGGTTACTGAGTTCCGTGTCATGAATCTGCTCCCTGCTCCACCTATTGGGTATCATCCCCCCCCCCCACTCCTCCCACTCTAACCTATCAGGACGCTCACCTGCTCAATACTGCTGAAAAGCTGCATCCCGTTAGCAGCTGCTGAGTGTGTGTGTGTGTGTGTGTGTGTGTGTTTATGTCCCGTCTGGGGGAATGTCTGGTGTGTTGTCATGTCTTGATTACCTATTGTGTTCACCTGGGGTTCCCCTCCCTCATGTGTTTAAATAGTCCTCGTTTCCCATGTCCTGTGCCAGTGCGTTTTCGTCTTTTTGTTCTCGTCACCCCTTGCCACGTCAGGTTTGATTTTTGTCACAGCCATGCCATAGTCTTATTTACTTTATTGCCATAGCCATGTTTTTGTCACAGCCTTGCCACAGTTTTGTTAATCTTTATTTGATACTTTGATCATAGTTTTTGTCTCAGCCTTGTTTTGAACCTTGTCTTCATCCACTCCGTTTGAGTGCGTTTTGTTACAATAAACCCTGTTTTCACGAATCTCCCCGACTGAGTCCTCCCTAAGAACCACCTCCGTGACAGTTTAAGGCCCAGGTCTCCGTACATTCAGTGTCAGTTCGTCTACGGTTCAGAGTCTACCTGTTCGTTGGCCTTCTTCAAACTGACCTCCTACCTGTTCCACCTGACAACGGCTACTTTCCTGCCCCGGATCACTCGGCCTACAGAGTCAGACAATTTTAAAAGATTGAGGCGAGACTTGACACAGGATCGGTACATTTTGTTGTCATTTTTTATGTCATCTTGTTGACCTTAATGTACAGTTATTTACACGGTGACAATGGAAGAGAGAGTTTAAAAAACAGCAAGATCTGGGTTCTGTGCCTCCACCCAGACCCTCACTCTCCACCTCCCCTTTAATCAATAGGTATCTCCTTCTGGAGGTGGTTAACACATCTGGTTTTCCTGTCTCATACCTGACTGTACCAACTGACACTGGAGTGTGAGGAGGAGGGGGGGGGATGAATGAATCTTGAAAGCCTTTATTGTCATTGTACACAGTACAATGAGATTTGGAGAGCAGCTCCGTAAAAGTGGACACATAAATAACACATACATATACAATACATTAGTGCAACTGGAGTACTAGTACTAGTACTAGTACTGGTACTAGTCTGGATGTTGATTGAGTAAGGTGACAGCTTTGGGGAAGTCATGGGAATGTCATGATATTATGAAGTCAGAATGGCTGTGGATCGCTCTGAAATGGGCCAAAAACAAAAGCTGCCATCCAGTGAGACTGCTTAGCCTCAGAGGCAGATCCAGACCTGAGCCAGCTTTGCCTGGACCTGCACCTCTGGGCTTCCAGGCATGGCTCCAGCACCTGGATGCATGTGCACAGCCTGTCTGATGACCAGCACAGGCTGAATATGCTACAGTCAGAATCTGGAGCCCGGAGCCCGGAGCAGCCCTCTGCAGATGTGCCTCCTAGGGATGGGGATCGAAACCCGGTTCTATCAAGGACCCGGTTCTACTTTTTTCAAAACCCGAAAATCAACACCGTTTGGGCTTATCGATACCACTATCGAGTCTGGTGGTTTTTTTATTATTACAATAGTAATTGTGAAATCCGTGTTGTAATCGGCAGCATACAAGCTAGTTAGCTTGAAAAGTAAATAAAGTTTCAGACGTGCTGTGTGATGATGTGTTCAGGTTGACTCAGTAAAACCACAATTAGGTTATCATGATGCGTTCAAGTGTAACGTAAAGAAAAGGGAAATTGAGTTTTTGGTGAGAAACATGAGTAATACAGTTGTATATTGCTCTAATTCTTTTAGAATATATAATTAAACTACTGATGCCAATATTTATTAAAAATGACATTTCATTTTAAATACAACTATTTATTTGCTAAATATTGTCGCATCGTCTTTCCACCAAATAACAGAAAAGTATGGATAGTGGTATCGATAAAGACTGGGATCGATAAGGAGTATCGATAAAGGTATCGATATCAATAAATATTAACCATCCCCATCCCTGGTGCCTCCACACTCTGTTTCAGTCTAAATATCTGGTCATGGAGCTGGAGCCCCACTCACACTCAGTACCCTCAGAGGCCTTTCAGAGGGTTTGAGTGTTTTTCTGCTCAAACTCCCAGCACTGTGGAGGCTAACTGTGCTGCCCTGAGATATTTACATTGTTTAAAGAATTGTTCAGGGCTGTGCAGACGCTCACCAGAGCTGCTCTCCCTCCTTCTGTTCCGTCTCAGTGCTCATCCCAGAGCTCACAACCTATCAGAGGTCCTCCCCATTAGACAGGACAGAGCCAGTTCCTTCACTCCCAAACTCCCACCTGGGGGGTGGGTTTGTCTGTTTACTTTAAAACCAGCCAGTGTTCAAATAAGTCCAGTCAAATTACTTCAAACCAGAAGACATACTCAAAATAAGAAGCCATGAAAATCTACTCTTTATGTCAAGGAAAAGAAAGTTTGGCTTTTGAAACTCTGAATCTGCAGGCCTCTGTTGAGCTGAGCTCCCTGAACTTAGGAAATGCCTGCTCCATGTTTGTGGAGATGCCCCCCCCCCCCACCCTGATCCATGGTTGTGCTCCAGGTTTCTTCCTCCTAAAGGCAGTTGTTTCCTCCCTGTGTCTCCTAGTGCTGCTCTTGGTGGGAGCTGTTGTTCTTCTGTAAATAACTCAGTGTTGGTGTGACCTGCTCTGTTTGGAAAGCTGTTAGATACCTGCTGTTGGGATTTGGAGCTATATAAATATTGGAACATTTTGGAAAATTCTGCTCTGAAACCACAGTCAATGCAAAGATGGCCGCCTCCAAGGAGCTGCAGGTTGTTAAATGCAGCACAAAGGTCGTGAAGCTGTAAAAAAGGAGACTGCCATAGTCTGAATGGAGATCAGTAGCAGCTCAGGTTCCGGCTTTTGAAGACAAGTCGAACAGTAGAGCCACAGACAGCTCTGCAGCATCTCAGAGGGGTCAGTTTCAGGCCTTTGCTCAGACTGCTCAGACTCAGGCGTGGTTAACGGACAGCCTTATCACGTCTGGCCATGGCAGGGGGGGGGTGGAGCCCAGGACCCAGGCTCTGGGGCAGGGATGTCAAACTCAATTGTACAAGGGGCCAAAATTCAAAACACACTTTAGGTCGCGGGCCGAACAGGATAAACATTCATTTAACACACTAAAACTAAATGTTTTTGGAACATAAATATGAATAAAAACAGACAGGAATATTATTCTGAAACCTCTCCTCTGCCACGATAAAACTTGCTTTCACAGCAGCTTCACTTTGTGATTTTGCACGGGTAAAAAACGTCTTCTTTAACTCTTCTGCTTTCTGTTTCTTCTGCTCTGAATCCAGGTCTTTCAGGTTATCCTTGTGTTTTGTCTCAAAGTGCCGTCTTATATTGAATTCTTTCATTACAGCCACATCAGCTCCACAAATGAGACACACGGGTTTACCGGCAATGTCACTAAACAAATACTCAGCTTCCCATCGGTTATTAAAGGCTCTGTTTTCAGAATCAACTTTTCTCTTCGGCATCGTGAGGGGTATCTTCGGCTAACGGCTATCTTCGTAATATCTTCGTAATATCTTGTTATAGCTAGACTTTATTGACGCAGGAAGTACGCGGCAAGGCAGCTGAAGCGTTGCATTATTATTCCATTCAACCCGTGTCCTAACGGGCCACTAGAGCATTTTCCCTACAAAGCCTACTTTCTCCACTTGTCAAAACTAGAACAGAAACAGTGAATAAGGCGATAAGAATTATAGTAATGACGATGATAACAAGTCAAGTAGGCTTTTATTGTCAATTTCTTTACATGCGTTGGTCATACAAAGAATTGAAATTTCGTTTCTTGCTTTCCCGTGCATACATAGACATAAATGAGATAAGTTAGATAAATTGGACATATAATAAGAAAATTGTGTGATATATTAGATACAAAGTGATCAATTGTAATGTGCAATATTTACTGTACAATACAGTCATTAAAGTAACAGGCATGAAGAAAGCAGCAACGTGCGTGTGTGTGTGTATATGTGTGTGTATGTATGTTTTTGAGTTGGTTCAGTGTGTGTGTGAGCGCTTTTGAGTCAAGTGAGTGTGTATGTGTGTGTGCTTTGAGTCAATTGTGATATAATGTCCAGGGTTCAGCTTGAGGAATAGCAAAGGATATTAGATGCAAAGCTATCGTGCTCACAAGCGTCTGCAGATGTCTTTCAGAGTTTCCTCCCAGCTTGAAATCCTGGAATCAGCAGTTAGATTCAGACTGCCCATGATTAGTATTTGATAAAAGACAACAATATAGAATCAAAGAGGTAGCTCAAAAATTGGGACTAGTTTGGTCAGACGCTGACACAGACTACAAAACAGTCATGAGCACATCATCTTACCTTCATTTTATTCAACGGAAATTACACCCAGATCAATGTGTTGGTATAAAAAAAGCTTTGTGTTGTTGCGGCTCACACACACACACACACACACACACACACACACACACACACACACACCTCCTGTCTCGTTCTCCATGCTGTCAGTTTCTGCTGAAGTTTGACAGGGAGTCAGTCGAGGGCAGCTTTGTACAGGTTAGGTTAGGTTTTTGACTCGTTTTCTCATCTGAGAATTTAAACATATTCACCTGACAGACGACATGACTCCAGATTGATGTGTGGTTTCAGTCTTTCAGATGACAGCATGAGTCACATCAGAGAGAGGAAATGCCTGGGGCTCAGGGCCAACGCTGTAGTTTCATAGAAGAATCTTAAAAAAATGACTCCCGTTCTTTCTTTTCCTGTTGCGTCAGCGGCTGTTTCCACACCTCATGCCAACCGCCTTAAACAGACGGGACGCTTTCTATGGATTCTTACTCCAGAAAATCATTGGAAACATTTCTAACAGTCCAACTCCGTGATTCAGT